TACCCCCCCCCCCCCCACTTCACCTCTTAGAAATACAATACCATTCCAAAGTTAATCTAATATGGGCTGCATTGCTGAACTAAAACTATTTTAATATTTAATATAGTCATATATTCATTTAAAACTTGTTATCAAATAATTAATCCCATAAATTCCTCAGATAATTTAAATGCGAACGTAATTTTTTTTAAATGGCTACATGCGAACAAAAGGGGGAGGGTGTCTAAATTTCCTAAAAAGCGCGAACGTAATTTGCGAATCACCCCTTAGGACAAATATCACTGACTGATAGCCCACTGACTCGTGAGAGGGGATTTTAAGTCGCAAATCTTATGTGTTAATCTATGAAAGTTAGTTGACTTGTATGCCGCAAAATTTGTTGCGCTATTATATAGGCAACTCTCTAATGCAATTGCAACTTAAAAACAGCCTCCCAGAGGCGCCCATTGGCCTATAAGCCCTAGATATTTGTCCTAAGTTATTTTATTTAAACTACACGATTAGTGCTATTAAATACAATTATCGTGACATGAGACCTGATTGTTTGCTTGTCAGAATACGTAACACTAACTATTATATAATAAATAACTAGTTAATTCATTGATTATTGAAATATATAATTTATTTTGTTTTAGTAAACTTGTCGCATACAAGAGCGCAGAATTGCTCAATAAATATTCTACAATATATAATGAAATCCATAAAATGATTGAAACAGATCCTAGTGTTCGTCCGACGAGTACTGAAGTACTCAATGGTTATAACAAGTGGTGTATCGATAAATCTGTAATCATTGATAATAAGGATTTTGAGTCAACAAAAGACAAATTAAACGAAAAGCAAAAATTTCTATTCGCCTATTTACTGTTGCAAGTGTGGGGCAAATCGGATGTTCAGGGTTAATTTGAATGAGTTTCACGTTACCCTCTCCTTGTGAAATATTACTTATATTAGTAATCTTCAAATAAAAATTAAAAAAGTTTTAATTAACATATATTAATGTTTAATTAACATACAATTTTAAATATAATTTTATATAAGATTTGTTTAATAATTTAGTATAACATGTTCAAAATAGTATTGTGTTAGCATTTCATTAAATTAAGAACTTGTACTTCTCAATGCAAAATTTCTATGGGAAACCCACATTAAACTATGGGATTTTTAATAAAATATTTTAATAATTTTACTTTTTAAATTTATTTTATATAAAACAATGTTGTTAATAAACATTTTATATTATTTGTAGTTTAAAAGAAATTATGATTTAAATTATAACAATTATAAAATCTAAATTGTAAAATGTTATGAAATGTTGTATTTACATGTAAGTGTAATTTAACTCTCATTTGCCAATAAATTAACAGTTATGTTACTAATGGTTTTTACTGATAATCATAATTGTTATCAAAGGGTTGAATTCAACAGTTTTCATTTATAACGATTTATCATAATACTTTTATAACGTACAATTATTTTTGTTACGAACAATATAAAAATATACTGTATTAATGATATATTTTTAATATTGTATTCTATTATAATTTTTTTAATCAGATTTTATAAATGTAATCAAGACTATTATAATGGCACATGATTCAAATGATAGTGTTTACAAAGCACAGTTCATTGAGCAAGATACCCTGGGCTCAGGCTGTTTTGGTATTGTATTTAAAGTGAAACATAAATTAACAAATAAAATATTTGCCGTAAAAAGAGTACAATTTAAGGGTAAATATCAGTCAAATATTACTTAATATAAAATAAATAATAAATATTTAAAATTCAGATGATTTCAGTGATGAGAAGAAACAGCGAGTTCTCAATGAAGTGAAAAGTCTTGAAAAATTGGACTCAATTTTTGTGGTTAAATATTACAACTCGTGGACAGAAGGGACACATCTATACATACATATGGAGTACTGCACGCAAACACTCAAACATGTACTGCAAGTCAAGCAACAAGTATTCGAGAGACAACCAAAAGAACCCTTAAATATATTTGAATATTACATTTGTTGCCAAATATTTCGACAACTCTTACAGTGTTTGCAATTCTTGCACGAGTCGTGTCCACCCGTTATTCATCGAGATCTAAAGCCATCTAATATATTGATTTCATACAATAATAACAATTTAGTGCATTTAAAACTGGGTGATTTTGGGATGGCCACAGAACACAAAACAACATTCATGAGCCACACTCAGGGCGCCGGTAATGGCAAGTATATGGCACCGGAAGTGAGTTCGTCGAGGGATTACGACCATAGGGCTGATATTTATAGCATTGGTCTCATTGGAGCTGAATTGTTTGATGCGTATGCTATGTAAGCATTAGAATAGAATTGCTAAAATATCATGACAGTTTGTCCACTATTTATATTGTAATAAAATCTATTATATATTTTACCTCAAGCGATATCAGAGCGTATAACTCGAAAATATTTTCATCTCAATATAATGTTGTGGTCAATATATTTTGGTCTATGATGAATGCGATGTCCGACAATAGACCATCATGTTCTAAAGTACTAAAAGACTATAGTCAGTGGGTCTTTGATAAATCTATTTTAACAGATCATAAAGATTTCAATGCAATACTAAATAAACTTAAATCTAATGATAATTCATTTTTCTATTACTTATTATTGTGTAAAACAAAACAATTATAAAAATTACTTAAGTATTTAAGTTTGTATGTGCAAAATATTTGTAATTTAAAGTGTATATACAGTATGTGCAATATAAATCAGTTAATTAATATAAATATTATACAATGCATAATAAATCTATACATTGAATTGTAATTCGTTCTACACACAAATTAAATTCGTTGTAAAGTTAATAAAAAACTAATTGTCTGTTTTTCTCATAGCAATAGCATAACATGACAAATATTTCAACCATTATCACTAACATTTACTGTTTTATTCTCATTTAGCTTTATATTGCGATATAATATTCGGGCTGTACCTACAGTATACTACAGGTCCTGTAGAATGTACTAAAGTAAAGGTATATCACTATTAATTAGATAACGGTTGCAATACTGTACCATAATTTTGCTCAACAATTGGTTGTGATTTATAAAACATAAAATGTTGTTTAGTTTATTACTTAATATATGGATCGCTATCCAAAAACACGTCGACTAGTGTTCGAGTATTACAGCATTATAAACAGTGTTTTGTTGGAAAGTTTTTGTTTCCTTCCCTGAATTGATATAAAAGTATTTACAATTAAATCCGTTGTTTCTATAGATTTCAATAGTTATCAATGCGTTTTAGTCAAAGGTTTCTAACTATAAACTTTGTAGATATCTAAACGAGCCCACAAACTAATATAAATTTATTATTAATTAGACAAGTATAATATAATATATTGCTGCAATCAATACAATACTGTTCTCATTTAAATTTAATAAATACTCATTTTTTGTTAATTTAAATGTGAATTAAAATTTAATTGAACTAATTTCACAAATACATGATATGAATATTATAACTTGTATTAATGGGATACATATGGGATGTGTGGCAGCGGATCTGTTTGACATTAATACTGTGTAAGTTATTACTAGTACAGTTAAATACCTATCCTGTCAACTATCTATACTGTCAACTACTCTATGTTATCAACCAAATCTCAAATACCCACCACATAGACATGTTAAAATTATCTCTATATTGTCAACTAAAGTGATCAACTATCAAGGTTTGGCCTAAACAGTCAGGGCTTTGAACACCTTGTCCAGTGTCAAGGCGAGGTCCACCGTATTGACACAAACAAAACAATTACGCACTTTATTGGGATTAAACATACATTGAATTGAATTACATTAATGGCGATATGCATCAGAGCTCTGGGTTTAGCGTTACAATTATTTGTATGCAATTAACATAAGTATTGATAAGTAATTAATATAATATTGAATATAATAATTAGCAGTAATTAGATATTTGGGTAAAAATGCCGTATAATAGGTATAACATTATAATAGATATAACAATTGTATTAAATTAATATGAGATTATAAATGCTTGGATTAGAACTGCATCAATATAATTAGTTAATTGCAACACTTATTCATATACTTCAACAGCTTTTTACCTACAACAATTGAGTAAATTATTAATAAATTAAAGTTTTAAATTAGTATAATGAAGTTAATTTTAATTAAAAAAAATTATAATGAATCTGTGTTAACATGTTTCCATACGATTTTGAAGGAAAAAGTATCAAGGTGAATGTCCAGGTAATTTAACTAAAATGTCAAGGTTTGTCCCGGAATTTTTGCTTGTTTTTTTTTTAATGTCAAGGTGTTTCAATTTTTAAGTTGGTCAGTCTAGTGAGGGATCAATAAACAATGAGAGAAAGAGAAATTATTTGAATGATTATTTGGTTATTGGGATTTACTAATAGTTATTTGTATACCAATAGTTTAGTGTAGGTATAATAACTTCAACTATAAGCAAATGCATCAAGTCGACAACCGATAATGATATGGCCACAGTTGTGGTACCGGTCAATGTTGACCATTGAATAGCATATTGCTAGAGACAATAAATGTTGAAGATTTTAAAAGATTTTAAAAGGAACAAAACTACCATTTTTAACCACTATTCTGATATGAATAATGTGGTTTATAGAATCGTTCGGCTACCCCTCCCCTCCCTTTAACAATGCAAACTCAATGTGACTAATGCTAATCATATGGACAATGCTAAGTCTATGGACAATGTTAAGTCTATAGGGAGTGCTAATCCTATGGACTTTAATTGAATGTGTAGATAATGCTAATCTATTCTTTGAGCACTACCCGAATGGTGGTTAACGTATAGCATCGCTGTGTGATCCTTGTTTAAATTATTGTTTGAGCATTAGAGTTACCAACCGTTTCGATTTCATCCGGGATAATTCCGATTTTGCACAGCGTCCGACGGGACCTGTTGTCGGGACCATAGAACATCCCTATTAAATTTTACCATATTACAACTTATTTATTTGGTAAAATACAAAAGTTTTATGTTATTTAAACATTCTATTTTTTCATCAAAAAAATTTAATATTTAGTAGTATTAGTTCTGTTTTAATCAAAACTAGCCGTCCCTGTCAGACATAAAATAATTTAAATAATTTTTGTCTCAAACTTAAAATTCATTAATAATTGGTCAGTTAATGTTTTTGCATTTTTGCATTGCATTCATGAGAAATGTCATTTCATGTCAAACAGCGTTGGCAATGCTGTCCTTATCTCTAATCCCATCAATGTCTTATTTTTTTATTTAAGTCTACTTTAATAGAATAGATTGAAATTATCATTTTAACTGAATCAAATTTTCTCTGATAGGAATACATTATTTTGAAAGTTATCATATGAAATATTCATGTTTCTTTAAGTAATGATGGGAATTTGATAACACTTGGTTTCTGGTTATGATATAATTTTAAAAATTCTAGCTGCACCAGATGTCACATAAGTCACTTACGAATAGAATATAAATCTAATTTCTATTTTTTAAAATCATCTGAACATTCATTGTTAATTGATATCAATAAGTAAATAATCTTATGCATTTAACGTCGTTAAATTACATTTTAATAACAGTATAAGTACTGTCAATACTGATAATAAATATTAGCAAATATATAATCATAAAATACATCTTATAAACGGGAGTGGGACCCTCATTACTGAGACTCCCGTTCAACCGGTGGTTCTGGCAACCTTATGTGTAATACTTGTTAAAAAATGGGAAAATGATAACATTAGTTATACATGAATGTTAACAATTTTTGTACCAAACATTTTATCCGTATTCTTATATTCATATCATAAGCACTTTTAATTATTTAAAATAAATATTAAAATATAAATCAGAAATAGTTTTTATAAATATTAATCAATGGAATTGTTAGCTAAAGGTTGGGATGTTTAGTGGTTTCAAAGTTAAAGCATAGTATATACAGATGATAAGGTATTCGCCTAACGAGTAATTATAACTATTCCGTTTAGCACGTAGACATTATCAACTAATAAAAATTTTGCTAGTTAAACGCACACATTAAATATAAACGTATTGTAAATATGCCTAATAACTGCCGTAAAATGATAAATATTTGTATGCTAAGAATAATGGTTTAATACTAGTAGTACTATTAAAATATTTTATATTAACTCTTTCTTTGCTCTTTTATAATTTGCAAAAATGTGCAATTGTACAATCTTCACAATTAATTATTTTATAGTATTTCATATGAAAAAACCTGAGATTGGAAGGGCTTTTACTGATTATTACCATTGATATTAAATAGATTTATATTTTTATATCACAAGCACAATGTTATTCATGCATTCACATATATTTTGTATTGACTCATTGAATAAAATTAATTTTTGATTAAATATTTATTTAATTGTTAAAGAGGTGTTGAAAAGTGAAAGTAGATTATTGTAAATATTATTAAAATTCTTAATTAATTTTTAAAAAATGGCATTTAAATGGTTTAAGAAAAAGTTTAAAAATGTTGATGATGGCCAATACAACACACAATTCACTGAGATTGAATCCATTGGCTCAGGTACATTTGGAACTGTATATAAAGTTAAACATAAATTACAAAACCAATTATATGCTGTTAAAAAGGTGCACATTAAAGGTAATTTCATAATTTATAAAATAAATAAAATTAATTAAAATTATCAAAATTGATAAATAGCGTTTAATGAAAAGTCGGAAAAACTATTTCACGATGAAATACAAAACATGGAAAAATTGGATTCAAAATTTGTGGTTAAATATCACGAGAAATGGAATGAAGGCCAGCACCTGTACCTTCAGATGGAGTATTGTTCCCAAACACTCCGACCAATAATTGAGAGCAAACAAAATATATTTAAGAGGAAATCTAAAAATCCTATGAATATATTTGAATATTTTATAACTTGTGAAATACTACTAGAAATTCTGCAAAGTGTTCAATACCTTCATAGTTTAAATATAATTCATCGTGATCTAAAGCCAGAAAACATAATGGTTGTCCAACATGTAAATTCAAATAGATGCTTAATATTGGGTGAGTGCCGATTGGCCACCGAACACGAGCGCACATCCATGAGTCACACCCAGCGTCCCGGCAATGTATTAAAATATATGGCAACGGAAGTGCAATGGGGACGAACTTATGATGTAAAAGCAGATGTTTATAGCCTGGGAGTCATTGGGCATGAATTATTTGATACTTTTGGCGAAAATAAGTATGATATTAATTTACAAAATTAAAATTACTAGATAACTTTATAAAATTCAGTCATATTTAAAAATTACAGTTGTATTTATTAGTTACTTAAATAAACTAACTTGATAATATTTATAATTTAACAGGGATTTTTCTCACATATACCATGATACATCATTTTTAGACAAGTTTACAAAATTGCATCAAATAATCAGATTAATGGTTAATTATGATGCAGGTGTTCGGCCGACTAGTGGCCGAATAATTAATGATTATAATCACTGGTCAGTCGCTAAACATCTAATTACAGAAAATAAAGTGGAGTTGAATGAAATACTAAACACACTAAAATCTAATGATAATTCGTTTTTCTACGATTTTTTAATATGCAAGGCACATATTAATTTATCAGATTATACTATAAACGAAAGCAAAATAAAGTTATCGGAAATGTCACATTTTAATAGCTTATTTAACGAGATTGTCATTATTGGAAAAGGGTCATTTGGGAAAGTATTTAAAGCAAACCTCAAATCGGATAATGAAATATATGCCGTTAAAAGAGTACAATTTAATGGTAACTATTAGGTATTAATATATATTTTGCTTATTTATTAAATAATTAATTTTTACAGAATTTAGTGTAGAAAAGAAACGTAAAGTTTTAAACGAAGTTAAATGTTTGGAAAAACTCGACTCAAAATTTGTCGTCAAATATTATAAGTCGTGGACCGAAGGAAAACATCTATACATACAAATGGAATACTGCACGCAAACACTCAAAGAAATACTTCAAAGTATTCGAACAACATTTGAGAGACAATCATCGGAACCGATGAATATTTTTGAATATTTCATTTGCTGTGAAATATTTCGGGAACTCTTGGAATGTGTTCAATATATTCACGAAATTGTTCCTCCTATTATTCATCGTGATATCAAACCGGAAAATGTATTAATTTTACACAAACATATGAAGCAACCTTGCTTAAAAATTGGTGATCTTGGTTTGGCTACCGATCACAAAATGACATCTGCGAGCCACACAAAAGGTGCCGGTACTGTTAAGTATATGGCACCCGAAGTACATTTTTCAACGCACTATAAGCCGAGTGCAGATATCTACAGTTTGGGACTAATTGGACAAGAATTATTTGAAACACACATGTATGTTATATTCACAAGTAGTGAAGCAAAGATACAATTAAACCACCTTTTGTGTGATAAAATTAAAAAATTTAGTGACTATTTTTATCTAAGGAGGAGTATACTTCACTTAAAAATAGCCGAATTCGGTGAAATTAGATTTATTTTGCAAATTAGGGCATAAAAATAAATAAAATGTGAATATATAGATCAGTAACGTCAGAAAGTGCCAAAAAAGGCCAAAATTATGTTAGCATTTATGTACAATATTATAGTGAGTAATACTATTCAGATATCAAACTCAATGATAGCACAAAACCTACGCCTACTTAAATCATGTCTTTTGACATTCCTGATATAGATATTTAATAAATAACCAGTTATATTTGCGATTACTTGGAAATCATTGAAGCGACAATTTTGAACATCGGGAAATTCATAGAGCGTTATATTTGTAACCACAATTCAGCAATGAATAATGTGGTTTATTGGCTCTTTCAGTTACCACTCTCTCTCTCTCTCTCTCTCTCTCTCTCTCTCT